GGGAGGCTGCCTCAGGAGCCCCATGGGAAGGACTGAGGGTCCAGATCCTGGACAGCTCCAGATGGTATCTGGAGCTTTCCCTTTTCATCTTTTCCCCTGCAGAAACCACCGTGAGAGGCTCAGAAGAAGGGCCGGGTTCCACCAACCAACAAAGGCATGGACGCCACAACCCACCCACAGTGGACTGACGTGGGTGGTAGGGAACCCAAGAGACCAAAAGGAACAGAGTAGGTAGAGCCCTTGGAATCTGCCTGGAGGAGGGAACGTGCCCCATGAGACTCCTGCGCATCCCAGTACTCAGGAGGAGCTACTTGTGGCCATTCTGTGCTCAGAGAAGGGCTCCTCCCACCTGCACAGCCTCAGGTGCACCAAGTGAGGTTTGGGCAGAGACTGCCTGGTGCTGCTGCTCACCTTTGCCGCATGCCTCCATCTCTCCACCATGGCAAGAGTGACAGGAACAGGATCACTTTTCTTCCCCTTCGGTCCTCTGGGGGCTCTGTCCCCGTCCTCCCCACCTTCCACTTCATCCTCCTCACTTGCTTCCTGCACCGGACACAGAAGGGCCAAGCTGGGCCAGGGTGTAGACACCCCAGGGGCTCCCTCAGCTCTGCCCAGGTCCTTACCTCCAGCTCGTCTGGCAGGGAGTGGAATCGTTCCTCATCCTCAGAGCTGTCCGAGTCGCTAAAGTTCAGCAAGCTCTGGTCATTTTCCTGCAGAAACTTGTAGAACTCGGGGTCTTTGTCCTTCAGGCGAGAGAGCTGGTCCTTGTGCTCTGAGGCACGGCCTCTATGCCGGCTAAGAACGTGGAAGTCAGCAAGCCCAGGGGGAAGCCAATGGAGGACCGGGGAGGGAAGGGGAGAAAGAGAGATTTCTTTTTCCCCCCACAATGCCAGCTTGCTGGGCACCTCAGAGAGACTACAAGGGTTAGTCTACTCCCCCTATGACAGTTACCAACAACCTAGGCAGGGGGATTTCCAGAAGACAAATTTTCATCGGACGCACCTGTCTCCTGAACTCCAGACTCACACTCAACAGCCTCTCGAAGACACAGTTCAACACATGCATCTCAGACCCAACACTCAGGATGCCCAATTGTGCTCTCCCCCAGACCTGTCCTCTACCTACATGCAGGCAACGGTAACTCTGCCCTTCTAGGCATTCAGGCAAAAGGCAAACAAACTTGTCTTTTATACCCACAATGGGACCTGTTGTTAAATCCCATCAGTACCACCTTCAAAACTACTTGTGGGCTGGGCGCGGTGGCTCACGCCTGTAATCCTAGCACTCTGGGAAGCCAAGGCGAGTGGATTGCTTGAGGTCAGGAGTTGGAAACCAGCCTGAGCAAGAGCAAAACCCCGTCTCTACTATAAGTAGAAAGAAATTAATTGGCCAACTAATATATATAGGAAAATTAGCTGGGCATGGTAATGCATGCCTGTAGTCCCAGCTACTCGGGAGTTTGAGGTTGCTGTGAGCTAGGCTGATGCCACGGCACTCACTCTAGCCTGGGCAACAAAGCAAGACTCTGTCTCAAAAAAAAAAAAACAACAACTACTTGTGCTTTCTCTTAACCCACACCTCTTGATTAACACAAAGACCTCTCCCTATTCCCACCCTTGCCAACTACAAAGTTGCCATGCCAGTCTAGGCATGGCAACCCCAGTGACCCCAAGATGTCACTTCACTGCTCAAATCCTGAAATCCCTTCCCATTTTACCAAGGATCTCATCAGGTCGGCAGAATCTGACTCCTCCAGCTCCTCTGCCCCTCTCTCCTCTACCACAACCACACTCCTTCACGGTCCTCAAGTGCTCCCACTTCAGCTCCTTTGCTTTTCCTGCTACCTGAAACTCCAAGACCTTCTGCGCGCCCCCCCCAACCCCCCACCGTCTGTCCCTCAGGTCTCCATCCGACACCGTCTTCCCCACCAGCCACCTCTAACAGAGCAATGTAACGTCCCTGCAACCTCCCTCCTCTGGCTTGTTTTCCCCTCTCCTTCCTCAGCACTCATTTCTTCTAACGTGCTATGCGTTATGATTTACCCAAGGCCGGGTGCGCTCCCCAAGACTGGAGAGGAACCTCTAAATCGTTCACTATCCATGCCCACGCCCTAAAGCGAGGTTTGGCCCAGAGCAAGAGCCAAACACCGCATGAAAGAATAAGTTAGGCCAGGGCAACTGGCTCTAGAGAACAGAGGTCCCAGAACTTGGCCCTGAAGCCCCGGCAAGGTCGGCATCTCTGCGGCGGGGTGGGCCAGGGTGAGGAAGGGGGCTCGCTGACGCACGGGGCTGGGGAGGCGGCGCCCGCTCACCTGGCCGAGGGGCTCCCGCCTGGCCTTCCCGCGCTCCGGGCAGCAGCTTCGCGCGACCCGCGCGCCTCGGCTTCTGGGGCGCCTTCGGGCTCCGATTCGGACTCGGAGTCAAAGCCCGAGGCCAGGAACTCGTCCACGGTCAGTTCCGCCAGGTGCCTGTGGTCACGCCGGAGAGTCAGGTTCCGCGGCAGCCCGGCTCGCCCGCCCGCGGCCCCGGCCACGCTGAACGGCACACGGAGCCTCCCGGACGCCGGCACCCCGGCGAAGCCGGTTAACCCGCGCCCTCGCCTTACCTCTTGCGGCTCCGCGCCGCAGCCATGACGCCCGGCCCGCAGCGTGCGCCCCGCTTCCGGCCCCAGAATGCCGTGCGCGAGCTGTACTTCCTCTGGGCTGGCCCCGCCCCCGCCACGCCACGCCCAGCCGTGTGGCTCTACGGTTCTCCGACCGCGATACCGGCGGCCTCCAGGCGGGAGGGCGCGTTCGCATCCTCAGTGCTGGCGTCCCGGGCTGGGGTCTCCGGGTGGGGTCCCGACGCCCCGCCCCCGGCTCCGTGTCCCTCCCCGCCCGCAGCCCACCCACGGCTCCGCGAACGTGGACATGTGCCGGTGAGGATGCCCAGGCTGCACCAATAGACCGAGCCACGGCGACGGCTCCTATGCAAAGAGCTCTCACAAACCAACAATGCAAAGCCGGTATCCAGCAGGGGAAACCAAGGGGAACGGACGCCGCAACGTCGAGCCGGCGTGGCGACGCCCGCGGACCCAGCCACGCGGGGCGCCCGAGCCCAGGAGCTGGAGGCTGCAGGGAGCCGTGATCCCGCCACTGCGCTCCAGCCGGGCGACAGAGCGCGCCCGGCAGCCCGCGCCCGCGACCGCCGGTGCCCACGAGGCGCCTGGGGCAGCGGCCGCCGCAAGGACGGGAAAGGGTCTGCCGGGGCCCAGAGGCTCGAGCCCCGGCCCCAGCGCCGCACGCGGGGCCCGACTGGCCGCAGCGGGCGGGGCTGGGGCTTCTGGAGGGCGCGGTGGCCGGGCGGCGGGAAGGATCCGCGTCTAGCGCCGGGTCCAGAAGCCTCGCTGAAGGCGGGGCGGGCGGCGCCGAGAAACAACGGGCGCGGGCTGCTGCGTCCGGGCGGCGGGAGAGCGCGACGCGAAGGGCCGCCACCGCCGAGCAGCCCTCCAGCCGTCCCCGCGTCCGCTCGCCCGCGCGTCCTCCGCGCATCGGCGGCGGTCCGGCGCCGAGCCCATGCAGCCGCGCAGCCGAGCGCCCGGCGGCAGACGCAGAGCCCGGAGCACGGCAGCCCGCGGCCGGGCCGAGGCGCCGCCGCCGCCGGCCGCCGCAGCGCCTGCGTGAGTGGGGGGGGCCGGGAGACCGCCGGGAGGCGGACGGAGGGCCGCGGCCCGGGGCTGGGAGGCT